AGAGGAGGAAGAGGAGGGCCGCGGGGGTCCCGGGAGGAGGGGAGTATCGCCCGGATCTTAGCACAGAATACCTCTGTCACAGCCATAAAAAGGCGGGGCAGATTAATAACCCCGTCAGCTATTTTGTGACCTTAGCACCGGAGCATCTCAGCTCGGGAAGCCCGCGGAGCGTCCGTTCCCAGACTGACTCGGATCGGTCCACGTTTGCCACCACCGGCTTTAGGATTCACCAGCCTTCGGGGCCGACGTTTGTGCCGGTTTCGGGCCGCGCACGGTTCTGTAACTGGCGAGGGGCGCGGCGGGGAGGGGTGGCGACAGCAGCGGCGTCTCTCGGGGTCACGGCGTCGGCCAAGCACGCCCCGTGCGTCTCCGTCCCGCTCGGTGTCCCATTTTCCTTCTCCGCGCCGCTGGACGGGACTCCGACACCGCCCTTCTCCGCAGTAGGAGACGCCCTCGGGGACACAGGGCTCGCCCAGCCGCGGCCCCGTGGGTCCCAAACCGTGAAACGGGCTCCTCTCTTCCCTTCCCGGACGGGAGTCTCTCTGTGTCCTCTGGACCCTTCACAGACACTCCCGCCCATTTGCCACCCAGTGGCCCTTCGGGCCCCGATGGCGCGTCTGGTGGTGGCGGGCCCCGCGCCCAGCGCGGGACGTATCTGCCCCCGAAGTAACCGGCACACGGACGGGGCTGAGGGCTGAGGTCCTGAACCCCTGGCCCCATGGCGGGTCCTCGCAGATCCCCATGACTTTCACCGCCGTGGACGTGACTGTGGACCCAGGCAGAGCTCTTCCCAAGCTGGTCCTCTGAGAGGATGCCAAAACGAAAACAAACTGCCGCTAACACAAATAACAGCAAGGCCAAAGCAACAACGCGCTGACAGAGTCTGTCTTGTGTGCCATACGTCTCTATGCGCGTATGTGTGGTACATGTGCGTGTGTGACACGTGTTATGGGGCATGCGATGGTGTGTGATACATGGTGTGTGTCAGTGTGATTGTGTGTGTGTGCTGTGCGATATGTGCATGTGTGTGTATGTGGAAGGCAGGTTAACAGGGCAAGGGTAATGCAAATATACTATTTAACGTTCTTATTCTATAAGATAAACTGTGATTGGGGCCCCCCGGGGGGGGTTCAGTCGGTTAAGCATCCAACTCTTGATCTGAGCTCAGATCATGATCGTGAAGTTTATGAATTCAAGCCCCGTGTTGGGCACTGTGCTGATGGTGCAGAGCCTGCTTGGGATTCTGTCTCTCTCTGCCCCTCTCCTGCTCTTACCCACATGAGCTCTTTCTCTCTCTTTCTCTCTCTCCCTCTCTCTCTCAAAATAAATAAATAAACAGTAAAAATATTTTTAAAAAAGACGACCTGTGATTTAATGATGTACACTCCACACTCTAAAGCAACCACTAAAATAACAAAACAAAGAATTATGGTTAACAAGCCACAAAAAGAAATAAAACAGAATCATAAAAAATTTCAAGTTGTCCAATAGAAAGTAAAAATGAGGAAAGGGAACAAAAACAGATGGGACAAAAAGATGGGTGCCAGAGGGGCACCTGGGTGGCTCAGTCGGTTGAGTATCCGACTTCGGCTCAGGTCATGATCTCACGGTTCGTGAGTTCAGGCCCTGAGTCTGGCTCTGTGCTGACAGCTCAGAGCCTGGAGCCCGCTTCAGATTCTGTGTCCCCCTCCCCCGCCACTCTCCACCCCACCCCTGCTTGTGCTCTGTCTCTGTCTTTCAAAAATGAATAAACATAAAAAAATTAAAATTATGATTACAAAAAAATAAAATTATCATTATATTTTGCATGAATTATTAGGAGAAAATATTTTCCAGGAAAATATCATAGCAACATCTCTTAATTTTGTTTCCATCTTTCCTTCCCATTTCCTGTAACCTACGTAAGGAGCGCATTATTGAAACTAACATGTATTTTCCACTGCATCTCAGTGTGTCTTTGCTTACATGTTGATCAGTAGATGGCAGTCTTGCGTTTTTGGTGTCTTAGGTCCATATGGTTTTGCCTTTAAGAAAGCAGAACTACTCCTTTGATCAATATTAAAAACCAACTGTAAATTTAATCTGGTTCTTATGGATGATTGTTAAATGGCTAACAATGACAATTGTATCCAGTCACTTTTAGTGCATTTATTTCTTCACACAATAAACATTTATTGAACAGCTTGTCTGTGGCAGATAGTAGCCTGGACCCTGGGGATATATCACTTATATTAGAGATCATTTATTTCCTATAAAAGTTTCCAGAAAGCTAAAATATGTTAAAAAAAAAAATTATATCCAACACGCTATAACAAGGTAATAAAAAGCGTTGAAGCCAAGAGAAGAAACGACGAAGCATGCAGGTTTTGGCAGGATCTGGATCCTTCTGCAGAGTTGATAACCTCTGAGCCACAGTCTGAAGGAGAAGTGAAAGTTCACCATGGGAAGAAGGGGGCCAGAAATTACGGAAACACTGCATGTGAAAAGGTCAAGAGTCATTAAAAATATTCCATAATATGTGCGTACAGTGAAGTCCCAGGACCAAGAGCATGGAGTCCATGAGGAAGACTGGCCTCAAATAAATCTGAGACGGACAGAGTGAGGCACATCTGGCAGAACTCATACCTCCTTCCTCCCCTCTCTGCATATTTCCTTTATGGGATGTTTACATGGGGGGGGAAATTCACAACCACCACTGAGCCGAGGTGCTGGGGAAGGTGGAAAATGAATACGCCTGGCTTGCTCATC